ATGTTCAGACATGACTAAATGCAGGGCCAGAAAAGATACCATCAGGGTCCTGGCTCCCTCTGCCTCTCAACTTTTCTTTCTTTGGGGTTGGCTTCATTCTCAGGTGGACTCCCCCACAAGTGGCCATGATGGCTGCCTAGAGCTGTGGGCTCACTTTCTACCACTGATTAACACTAGTGCAGGCAAAGCATCCTTTCCCAGCAAAACTCTCAGGGAGGAACTTCATGGCCCAGTTATGAACAAATCTCTGTGGCTGACTGGCACCCACCCCTGGGATTAGAGATTGGGATCACCCACCACCACCACCTGAACAACTTGAAAGTGGACTAGAGGAGATTTTCATAGGGAAATTGGGGTGCTCTTACTAAAAGAAAGTAAAAGGATTATGGGTAAGTGAAGTCAAAATAGATGTTCCCTGTGCTGGACTGTGGGAAAACAGTTCAAAAAGCAGAGATGAGTGTCAATACATATTACATAAAAGCAATGAAAATAGTGTTCTTGAACATGTTCTCAACACAATCAATTCAAAAAGAACCTTATTATACTCTTTTATAATTGAAAATTAAATGCTGGTGTGGCATGATCTGTCCTTTTCTGGGCCTTCATGTTTTGGGGCTGCTGGAGAGGTGTGGAGGAATTGGTGGGCTCCAACTCAGCTTCCTTTCTATCCATTTCTAGTGTGTCTTCATGCATTGCCAAGACTAGAAAGCTAAATACAACATTCCCCAGACTCCCTTGCAGCTAGAGTAGTGGATACAAATTAATTTCATTAATTAGATGTGCTCAGAGAAGACTCGCAAGGCAGAACCAGGGAGAAAGGCATCTCTTTGCTTTGTGGTTGCTTTCTGTGGCCAAGGACTATTGTGGAGACATTGGGCTTTTCTGCAGCAACTTTCCAACATCCATTTTCTAGCTTTGTGGGTTTAGAGAGACAGCAGTAGAGGCAGCTAATGGACTCCCCTGATCATGGAAGTGGTAGCAACTCCTGGGTAGGCTAGTCCTGCAGCACTGCTCTGGGAGTCATTTCTGCAGGCCCAACCTAGAGCCAACTACTGTAGCCCTTCCAACAACATCAAAAGCAGGCAATTCCCTGTCTTAAGTCAGTTTCTGCTTAAAATAGCTAAAGAAGCATCTATTTATTGGATCCAAACAGGCAGAATTGACACAAGTCTTAAAAAAAAAGTTTGGTTCTTTCCCAAGGCCTAGATGTTCAGAGGGGGCCAATTTGGGAGCAACCCTTGGTGACATGGGCAGATAAGCAGTTCATTGGGCTTCCATGGGGCATGTTCCCATGGAAGAAGGAAGGACCACAGCAACTTCTTGGGCTTATTTCATCAATATGTGTGCCCCTCCTTAGACATCACCAGAACTTTTGTCTCTGCTCACCCTTCGGGAACTATTCTCTGTTTCTTGAATTAATTCTCTCAGTGGAAGGCTTTTGCTTTCATCCTTTTATTCACAGTCCATGAATATTTATTAAGCACCTACTGTCTACTGGCAAATGCTGTTCCCTCTGCAAACTAACCACCTCAGCCCTTCCACCTTCTAGCCTCCACTTCATGCTCCTACATACATGCACAGACATACAACATGCTTGTATATGACACACAAACATTCCGACTCCTCAGCCACTCTAACTTTTACACATTCTTCCTTGACTACCACGATCCAGGTTTTTAGTCCTACTGTGTGCTCCTATAACTCCTGAATTTCTGCTATCAAAGCATTTTTTCAGTGTGTTGAAATTGCTTGTTCACTTCTCTGTCGCCCATTCTAGATGTAACTTCAGTGAGGGCGAAGATGGTGTCTCTCTTGTTTGCCAGTGTAGACCCAAGACCCAGCACAGTGCCTGGTATACCCAGGCCCAGATGTTCAATAAATATGTGTTGAATTTATATTCTGGGCTTCCAGAGACTGAATTGTCTCTAGAAACTCTCAGATCAAAGATCAGCTCTGAAGATCAAAAGAGGTGATAAAAACTCCAGATGCTGAGGCAAAATTGAAATATGGCAAAATATTTCTTTCTTTCATCCCTAAGTGTCTATTTCAATCTCCCATCCTCATGTCTTTCAGCTTGACCAAAGAGAAAGACAGAGACAGAGACAGAGACACAGAGACAGAGAAAGAAAAGTTCAAACAACTTTGTAGCATTGCACCATAGGATACCATTTCATTGTGAACATCCTGGCTACCAGAAATGTTATTGATCCTTTTCAGATTTTGATTCTGTCCCTTATAAAATATGTGACCTTGGAGGAGGTTTTTAACCGGACACTTTGTTTTCTCATTTGAAACATTTCTCATGAAGTGTGGGGGATTAAAGTTGGCCACAAATTCTTTGACACTGTTTGCATCTAGAGGTGGGATTGATGTCCCTGTCCCTAACCCTTTAATCTGGGTGGGCTCTGTGACTGCTTGACGAATAGAACATGGCAGAAGCAGGGCTGTGCCAATTTCCACACACCGGCCTTAAGAGACACCGTGGCAGCTTCCACTTCCTGTCTTAGAATGCCCCCTGACAGGGAAGTCAGTCACTATGCCGTGAAGGAGCCTTAGATGTAGTCCCTGCTGGTCCAGCCATTCCAGCTGGAACGCAGACATGTGAGCGAAGAAGCCATCTTGGATTATCAGCCCGGACTTCAGGTGATGCCAGCCCTGGCCACCATCTGACTGCAACAACGTGAGAGACCCCGGGCCAGAACCACCCAGGTGAGCCCAGTCAACACAGAACTGTGAGCCACTAAGGTCTGGGGTGGTTTACCAAGCAGCGGTAGACAACTGCAACACGAAGTTATGATAATACCTATCTCTTAGGACGGTTGTGAAGGTAAAATTTTGTTTTATGCAAAATCCTTTGCCCACAGCCTGAGATAAAATAAGTCCTCAATATACATCACTTTTCCTGCCCTGTCTCCTTCCTTTTTATTAATTCTATGAATTTCCAAGAAGGGGTAACTCTCAGTGTCATCATCATCTGAGGTAGGTCGGGTAGGGTGGACTATGTTAGATGTTCGGAGTTTGAATAGCTCTCTTTTCCTTTCTCCATCTTTCTCTTGTTTCTTTCTTTTCTGTGTTCTTTAAAACATAGCCAGATCATTTAGACCTAAAATAAGAATACCAAATTCAGCCTTTGTGTTGCAGACAGAAAAATCATAGGTTTGGTGTGGGCTCATGGTAATGAAAATCAAGCTCCAGAAGCTAAAATGACTCAAAGCAAAATTCTCCTTGACGACTTTTGTCGTGTGTGTGTGTGTGCGTGCGCGTGTGGGTGTAAAAAGCAGTTAAGAAATACTTTGGACTCATGATTATTTTACCATGTAAGCATGACAGAATTGCAGCTTTTTTTGGAGGGGGAGGGGTTAAAAAGTACATGGTTACCTGTACTTATCAAATTTGCTAAGTTTGACTTTATAGAACAGCAGAACCCAAGTTTGATTTAAACCATGCAGAAAGACATGGTGCATATGGGAAATGCTCTTTTTCTTCCTGAAAGGCTGAAATCACATCATTCTAATGATCTCCCTAGAAGTCAATCTTGTACTCTGTTTACTGTGAAGGCTGTGGGCCTTGCTGATTAAGTTCCCCATCCTCGAAGACTTGCTACTACAGCAGCCTGAGATTACCTATTTCCTCTTGAATTCCTGCAAACACCTAAACCGTTATAGACAAGAGGGCTCATCTCAGAGTCTGAACTGCGTCAGGATCATAAATAAATTCTCTCAAATTTCTGGTCAGTTAAGTCCAGGGTAAAAGGGGGAGTTAAACTAGATGCCTGACATGTACAGATAAGGAAATTGGTTTATTTTACTTTTACATCTCAACCTTTCATGTGGATGTGGACACAAAGCCACTGAATTTGTCATCATATACTCCAGCATAAAAGCCTCTGGGACATTTGGGGGCCCACAAGCTTGGAAGAGTTGGGGTGGGGGATGGTATGGGGACAGGGGAGTGGTCAGCCCGAGTATCTGGTGACATATTTTGCCTTCAGTTCCAGGTTGGAGGAGGAATTTGGCCTGCCGATGAAGATGCATTTCCCTGATGAGAAATGTAGGGGCGGAGCTTGGGATTTTATGAGTGCATGGCCCACATCCTCCTCGGCGTCAAGTCGCTTAACTAACTCCTGTGGTTCCTCATGACCCGAGACTAAGCGCAGGCCCTTTCAGGTTGCTACCGCCCAATCCAGTCAATATCACAGACACCGTAGCTGCGGTAGCTGTTTTCTTTCCACTTCGTAGCTCTGGGAGGAGGTGTGACTTGCTCTATAATTACTCCTGGTTTGCCTCTGGGTGTGCTGTGCATGCGCCTGACAGCGTGTGCTCGCTGGAGCCTGCGCTGTGGTAAAGAGCCAGAGAACGTGGGTCTAGAGCGAAGTGGGTGCTATTGTTTTGCCCCACAGTCAAATGTCACATTTTGGGGGGAGAATGGGGGAGAGTGGGATGGGGTCTTTATTAATGATTGCAATTGTAGCCAAACCTATGATCCGGGATGCCACCCCGCATGCACCCAAGTCAGTGCTATCACCCCAAATTATAAGGGCCCAGGCACGAAGCCGGGCAGTGGAACGGGCGCTTCAGGCCCTCGAGGCAGCCCCCCAGCAGGTTCCCCGAGGGAGGGCGGTGGACTGGGGGGACCGGGCGGGGACATTTGCCCGGGAACTGTTTTTGGGCGGCTCGGGCCGGCAGGTAGGCGTCCCCACGCGGCCCCCGGCCAAGCCTACGTCCCGGAACCCGAGACGCCCCCAACCCCGCAGCCACAGCATCTGCCCCGTGCCCGCCGTCGGCGGCCGTGGCCCGGCCCGCACGTTGCTCCCCTCCGCCGCCTGCCCCACTTTGCCCGCCCCTCGCTGGGCCAAGCGCCGGCTCCGGGAGCCCCAGGGGGCGCAGCGCGCGCGGAGTGGCGCCGGGGGCGGGGCCTCGCTCAGGGCCCGCCGGGATTGGCTGCAGGAGGCGGGGGCGGGGTCGAGCCCGGACAAAACAGCGCGCACGCTGCCGGGGTGCAGTCCCGGCCTGGAGCCTGAGCCCTAACGAGCTGCAGCGCCCGGCCGCTCCCGTGCATATTATTATTGACTTTTAATACCGCGGAGTCCCCCATCCCGGTCCTACAGCCCGCTCCCGCGCAGCGCGAGCTGCCTCCGTCCCGCACGACCCGTCCCGCGCGGTGCAGCCCCGGCCGGAGCGGCGATGCGCCTCATTCAGAACATGTGCACCATCGCCGAGTACCCTGCCCCGGGCAGCGCTGCCGCCGCCGATTGCTGCCTGGGGGCCGCGGGCCGTCGCCTGGTCAAGATCGCCGTGGTGGGCGCCAGCGGCGTGGGCAAGACCGGTGAGTCCTCGCGCTCGGCGGGGTCCCGTTTAGCTCTGGGGCTGGATGTGAGCGACCCCCGCTGGGAGTTGCGGATAAACGAGGCGTGGGAGACGTGGGAGCTGCAGCTGGACCGCTCAACCCCCTCCTAAAGGTCCGCTGCCTCCCTCGGGAGGGACCGTAGCCGTCATCGCTTCCACCCCCTGCTTCAACAGGTGAGGGAAACTGGGGTCCAGAATGGTCGGGTGACTTTCCAGCACCACCGGCACACCTGAGATTAGAATTTTGGGGGTTTTGAGCCTCAGGGGGTTTCTCCTGGCACAGAAAGGGGGGTTAGTGAACGTAACCCCTCCTGGGGGTCTTTAGGGTTTGGAAGACGTCTGTCTGCTGGAAGGCTTCAGGTGTGGCTCAGCCGGGCTCAGAGGAGAGCGTGAGCCAAACGACCCTCCCAGCTGGACAGAGTCATAACTCACGCTGCCCTCTAGCCCCTCCGTTGTGTCTGGAAGAAGGGTCAAGGAGCTGCAGGGGAGGAATTTCACTTGGTTGCTGTCTATGGTTTTCTTTGGGAGAGTTGTTTTCCAGGCTGGGGGTGGGTAGAGACCAATCTAACTTCCAGGGCTAACCTCGTTCCCTTCCCTTTTCTGACCCGCAGCTCTGGTGGTCCGGTTCCTCACCAAACGATTCATCGGGGACTATGAGAGAAATGCAGGTGAGGAGATGCATTTGAGGAACATGCTGTCCGTCTGCAGGAGTACTGCGTTCCCATTTTTCAGTGTCTTCCAGGCAGGTCCTTCAGAGGACAGTATGAGCATCAGGATCCCGCCACTTCCAACTTTACATGCCCTTCCATGCTTCCCCACCTCCCTCCCATAACTGCCATCTGGCCTCATTCCATTCCAAGCCCATTCATCATTTTATCAAGTGCCCGAAAGTATTCCCCTTGGTATGTTTTAACTATAGGGACCCCAGTTGGAAACACCCTTTGTACTCAAGAGCTTCTCCCTTCGAAACACTCCTGCAAAAGTCATAAAAAAAGACGCCAGCTCCTCCCCCAACCCCTCTCCCTCTCTGCTGGCTGACTTTTAGAGGTGACCTTTTAAAGCAAAGGCCAAAGGAGAGCAGTTGTAAACCTAAAGTTCTCTTTTCTTAACAAGGAAAAATAACCAGATAGTAGAATTTAGGAGAGTTCCTGAATAAATGAGAGGACAAGTATTTCAATCACTATGATTAAGGATAGCCACTGGGGAAACTTAAGGGCTTTCTACCTATGCTCTGTTAACAAACTGCTTAAATCTGTACATCGTATGAAGTACCTGTTGGGGATTATTTGAAATGAACTATATAAGCCATTTCAAGATAAGTCATGGTAGCCTTGGTCAAAGAATGATTAAGTGCTAAAATAAAACAAAGTCCAAACATGCTGAGTAAGAAAATTTGCTTCAAGGAAATACTCTAGAAATGTAAACTCCTTTTAAAATGGACAAATAAGTTTCCAAAATACTTGCAAACTTTGCCCTGGTTTTAGTAATAAATCTACTAACATGGGGTTAAAATTGCTGTTGGTTTTTTAAAAAATTGGTAGTAAGCCCATTAAATAAACTATAGCTTCCTTTTGTGCATTGGTGCAGGATTCATTTTTTTTTCCAACTTAACAAAAAAACCCCACAATGTTTTAAAGGTTGTACAAAAGAACATAATCTATTCTCTTTGCCTTTTAGGTAATCTCTATACCAGACAAGTCCAGATAGAAGGTGAAACCCTGGCTATTCAGGTTCAAGACACTCCAGGTATTCAGGTGAGATGCTTTCAGATATGTGCCCGGCTCAGAGGGGAGCCTGCTTGGCTGTGGAATTGTTCAGTTGTTCTTCAAGTACCTCATTCTGAAGGAGGCGAGAAATTTGGAGAGTCAAGTCTAGACTTTTATATGTTGTTTGACACCTCAATTGTATCTGGCTGTTGGTCAGGCTTAGCCTGGCTTACTTCAGGAGATTTGGCTAAGAAGCCAAGAAATCTTGCCTTAGAAGGACTCAACACAGCAGGAAAGACCAAACCAAACACACTTGAAAATGGCAGTTTCTTTGCTATGGTTAAAAAGGTCAGTTTTTACATATGTGTCTTTGGCATTAAAAACCAACCGTCTAGGTATAGTCTCCAAATACTTGGAATCACTTTTACATTGAGGAAAGTTACTCTATAGACAAAAGAGTCATGCTAATGTTTTTTTTTTTTTTTTTTTTTTTCTTCTGATCTGGGCAGTTATCCAGGTTTAAATGCTTCCAGCTCCTATCTTTACTTCCCCAGACTTACTGTCTAGCCAGTTAATTTCCCATTTTGTGCAACTACAAAGTCTCTCTGCATGGAGTTCTCTGCAGGTCAATTTTCCACTTGAGTGTGGTGAGCAGCACTGTTATTTATTCCAACTCTGTGCAGCTGGATCAACATATTATCAAGAAAGCTGAGGTGTGTGGGGATATAACTTGTTTATGGCCTGCAATCCAGTGTTACTGTGAAGGGCTCTTTTGAATTCGGTATCCAGCCAAGCCAGGGCTGTTAGCGGCACTCACTGCCATTCACCATGCCATCACCCCTCTCTTTCAGGTCCACGAGAACAGCTTGAGCTGCAACGAACAGCTGAATCGGTGCATTCGCTGGGCAGATGCTGTAGTGATCGTTTTCTCCATCACTGACTACAAGAGCTATGAACTCATTGGCCAGCTCCACCAGCATGTCCTGCAGCTACACCTGGGCACCCGGCTGCCTGTGGTGGTTGTGGCAAACAAAGCTGACCTGCTGCACGTCAAGCAGGTTGACCCTCAGCTTGGACTGCAGCTGGCCAGCATGTTGGGCTGCTTGTTCTATGAAGTGTCTGTCAGTGAAAATTACAACGATGTCTACAACGCTTTCCATGTCCTGTGCAAAGAAGTGAGTCACAAGCAGCAGCCCAACAGCACACCCGAGAAGCGGAGAACTTCCCTAATTCCCAGGCCCAAGTCACCCAACATGCAGGACCTGAAGAGGAGGTTCAAGCAAGCTCTCTCTGCCAAAGTGAGGACTGTCACCTCTGTCTGAAGCAGGCGCACTCAAGGGGGTTTGGTCTTCCTAGGAGGAGGGCCTGAGGTTCTTCCAGTGCAGGAACATTGAATGTTGGCAGTAATTCATGGTTCTAGCAAGGGCTGGAGCAGAGGGGCCAGGAGGGCCCATGGAACTGCTGCAGAAAAGTGCTGTTCTGAGCAGGGGGACAGAATTGAAGAGGCTTGAACTAGGCCACTGAGCCACTCCCTGAATATGTGAAATGTACTCTCTGTCTTTTCCTTTGGAGTGGGGAAGGGGGCATAATCGCTTTGGTTTTTGTTCTTACCTACCTTGTAAATGATAGTCAGTTGTAGTTTCTCCAAATATATTGATGTGATTTATGGTGGGAATGAAAGAACAGATTAAGCATTCACAGGCTTTCTTTTTTTTCTCCTCCCGCCCCTTCTTTCTTTTCCTCCCCCCCCCCCCCCAAGTTATATCCCCACACACCTCAGCTTTCTTGATAATATGTTGATCCAGCTGCACAGAGTTGGAATAAATAACAGTGCTGCTCACCACACTCAAGTGGAAAATTGACCTGCAGAGAACTCCATGCAGAGAGACTTTGTAGTTGCACAAAATGGGAAATTAACTGGCTAGACAGTAAGTCTGGGGAAGTAAAGATAGGAGCTGGAAGCATTTAAACCTGGATAACTGCCCAGATCAGAAGAAAAAAAAAAAAAAAAAAAAACATTAGCATGACTCTTTTGTCTATAGAGTAACTTTCCTCAATGTAAAAGTGATTCCAAGTATTTGGAGACTATACCTAGACGGTTGGTTTTTAATGCCAAAGACACATATGTAAAAACCCCCCCCAAGAGGAAGAATTGCTTTTGTCTTAGTGTGATTTGCATCTCTGGAACATGATTCCTTATAGAATGCCTTCCTAACCTGAAGGATACCCAGATTTCTTTCTTTAACAAGGAAAATATCCCCACCACCCGCCGCCAAAAGGTCAAGTTTGTGGGCCAAAATATTATGTATACAGACATTTGTAAGTTTGCATGGTCTGCAGGAAGGCGCTGGTTCCTCCTGACATGATGGGTATGCTTAGTTGGGGATGTGTTGAATGCTTGTCTCTCAAACTCTTCAACCCCAGACGTGGACTAATTGTGAGACTGTGTAGTTTTTGTGTGCATCAGGTACAGAAAAAACTGTGTCAATTGATTTTGGTGTGATTTGTGTAAATGGCTCACGGCAATGACACTGGGTTGCTTCTTATACCTGGCTGAGTCGTGCCTCTGGGTGGCTAAAATACAAGAACGCTATCTTCTAGAGAGTGAACAGATGCAGGGGCTACCCGCCAAATCCCCTACACAGATGCACTTTAAAAAGCCACTCATGCTTTGGCTTAAAGTGTAATTAATTTATTTTATGTACAATAAATATCATTTTCAAAGAACAGACCTCTGACTTGGACTTTATGGAAATGTTAACCTTTTGCCCATTAGAGAAGCTATTACTTAGTATTCTTGTATTTATGGGGCATGTTGAGTAAAGCAGTATGTCTTCCAGAGGTTACCTCTTAAGACTCACAACAAACCAACGAGGTGCATTCTATTATTCCTACTTTACAGGAGAGGAAACAGGTAACTTGTAAATTGTCATTTACTTCTTTATATTTGAGAATAGCATATCTCCTATTCATTTCCTTTGTGGTCCTCCAGGATCTGGCTACACATCTCTCTCAGCAAAGCCTTGAGGGTATTAATGCTTTTACACAAGATTACTGCCTCTCTATACGTGCTTTATTTGGCAAACCTTTCTTTGGGTATGCTGCTTTCAAAAACCCACTTTATTTTCATTGCAGAAGCTCACAGCCATTGATCTAGAGCTGTCAGGAGCCACTCCCAGGGAGCTTTCACCACAATGTATGTGCTAAACTGCCAGGCCTCTCATCTGCTTCCATCTGGGCCTGGAAGACCTTTCATGCAAGCTAAGTGAGTCACCATCTTTACAGGCAAATAATCACACCTTATATTTGTTTGAGTAGTGCTTTCACATCCCTGGTGTTGTCTAATCCTCAGGATAACCCAGTGAGGAGAGTGGGGGAGGTATTAACACCATTTTACAGATGAGAAAAACAGATAGAGTGCCAGGACTTCAACTCTGTTTTCCCACGGGTAAATATCCTGACTGCTCTTGACAGGGCTTCTGCTGGTGCCCCAAACCCTCCTTATGTGCAGGGTAATTTTCTACACTTCAAGCCTAACCTGCCTCTGAGAAGGGTGTGTGTGCTGGAGGCAGGGAGGGCAAGGGTGCTAACTTGAGACTCTGGCCCGGCTCCTAGGTGGCAGAGCCACCCCTGTGCTGGGCTCAGTCTCTCATTCTAGGGCAGTGGCAAGTAACTCCAACTAGATGCTACTCTTATTTCCATCCATCCTGTGTGGCTGTGTTAACAACTTCCAGTGAGTGAATCTTTATATACTTACCAGTGGTCTCTACCCATGTTATGGAAAAGAAGATGAGTTCTCCTGCGGGCAGCTGCGTGCTGCAAGGGTGCTGGGAGCTGCTGTGCTTCCATTTACTGCTGTCCACTGCTTGCCTGTCGTCTCCATCTGCAGATCCCTCGCAGGCTCCTCCTGCCCCGCTGAGCCATGCCTGCCACACTAGCAACCGCCCTCATTTCCTCAGCCTGCGCTGAGCTCCGTCTCTCATACTTCCCCTGAGACAGTCATGCTGGAAGGGGTCTCAGAGCTCTAGTCCAGCAGAGGGATAAAGTGGTTTGTTCAAGTCCCTGGGGGTGGGGAGGGGAGGCGGAGAGAAGAGAGACTGAGACAGAGAGAGACACACACACAGGCAGAGACAGAGGGAGACAGAGAGACAAAGTCCCGGCTGGAAACCACCCAAGTTCCAGTTCTGTCCACTGTCTCAGGCTGACTTGACTATTGATAGCTGTGGAATACACCATGTTTTCTTCTTGCAAATGTAGCTTCATGTTTCATTACTTTTGCTCATCTCTTTCATTATTAGTATCTCTTCACTTAATCCCCATTTTCGTTTTCATTTTTTAATTTCTTAACTACAACCATCTGGCACCTCGGTAGGGGAAGCCTCCTTTGCCACCAGGGTAAGGGAAGGCAGCAATGTGGACATGTCTGAGGTGCAGGGGAGTAGAGAGTAGGAAGGAATCAGAATTTATTGTGCCAGATTGTATTATCTCCTTTAATCTTTGGAAGAATCCTGTGAGAAAGGTAATAATATCATATCGCTTTCATATTAAAGATGAGGAAACTGAGGCTCAGAGAGATTAAATTACTGCTGAGGGTCACACCACACAGGTAGTAACCATTGTTGTTTCTACTTGCTGAAACAGTGCCAGGCAGTGTTGGAGGTGTTTGGAGTAACTGACATTTCCCACAGCAACTCCACAATCCACCTTAGTCTCTCCTACACCAAAGGAAAAGGGAGGCTCAGCAGAATTAAGCAGCTGGCCCAGCTCCTCCGTGGCAGGTCCAGGACTCCACCCCAGGCCTGTCTGTGCCACAGCCCAACTCCTGCTTCCCTCCCAGTAGAGCCCCGCCGGGAGTTCTCTCCTTCCTCTGTGGGCCCCGCCCGCCCCGCCCTGGCCGGTGTTCCCTGTCCTGCTGTCCTCCACCTTCCTTTTGCTACCATGGACTCGTGGCTCCTCACTGGCCCCAGGCCCCCCTTGCTACCGCGGCCACATCTGCTGTTGCCATCAGCCGGCTGCTGGCGGCCTCCAGCCCCAGCTCAGCAATAAAGACGTCCAGGCAGGGAGGGGGCCAGGCGCAGCCCGTCTGTCTCAGAACCAGACCCACGTCTGTCGTGATGTCTGGCTTTTGAGTTTCCTCCCTGCCTCAAATCAAAAACATTCTCAACGCTGCAGCAGGCCAGGCACTGCACAGTGAGCGGAGATGGCGAAACCTTCCAGACCTTCCTGGGCTTCCCACAGCCCCGACATCTACAAGGCACTATGGATCAGCCGGGCCACCCGCCCAGCCCGCTCCTAACCCTGAGGTGGAGGAGCTCTGGGTGTATTTATAGTGAACCCCTCGTTTTGATAAAAAATGGGATTTTGACATTCATCTTACACTCCAAGAGGGAGAAAACAAGTGTGTTTTTTTGGGCAGATGAACAAGCTTGTGGGCAAATCCCTCACAAATGGGCAGTTGGGTAACTGCAACGAGAGGAAACAGGGACAGTCCAGCAGTGTCTGGGGACAGCTCAAGACAGGTCCCTCGGGGAATGGCCTGAAAGGAATTATAGAGCTTGCCTGATTATGATAAATAACCCGGGAAAACTGATGTTGTCTGCACTCCCTTTAAGGTCTAAAGACAGAAGTTTCCAGAAAGTTCTTATTGTGCTTATTACTCTCCTAAATTGGAGAAGAGAACAGGATTAGGCTTATTGCTGATTATGGCAAGATCCCAGCCACTACCCCCCATGCTTCCTTCTCAAATACTCTGCAAACTCACCATAATCTGGTTTTGTCTCTTTAAATTCCCTTTAAAACAGAGATGGGGTTTCTTGATGTTTCTTACGCAGGACACCAGACATTTGTAATACTGGATTATTTGTTGTTGAGATTCTGTTTCTGGTATCCAGGGTAAAATAAATAATAGTGATCTTGGGGGGGGGGCCTATTGAGCAGTTTCCTTAGTTGTAATACTGGATTATTTGTTGTTGAGATTCTGTTTCTGGTATCCAGGGTAAAATAAATAATAGTGATCTTGGGGGGGGGCCGGATGGAATTCTTTGTTACTGGGATACCAATGAAATGGAGGGGCGGCCTAAACAGAGCCATTTGCATGGGCCCTGGCCTCTGGGGACAACACTTATTTGGCTGATGCAGCTCTGGAGCACTTCCAAATGCTTTGCTGTGTCTGCTGTGTTTGCCAGGAAGTGAACTCCAGAAGAGGGCTTATAGAGGTAGAAGTCAATTGCAACAAAGTATTTACACCTCTATCAATTATGTTTATAAAGAGTGGCCTGTGAGGTCCTTGGCAGAAGGTTTGCACTTGCATGTGCTTGTTTTGGTTCTGCACAGCCAGGGTTTAGGTGGTAAACACTCATACCCAGGCCTGAGATGGGAGAAACCAGCACGACCACTCAGTTTAGCCTTTCAATTCACCTTTAGGTGGCTGACAACTGGTGGAGGGGTGGTGGTGGGGGGTAATCCCTTTAGAATGGGTACATTGGATGAGGTCAGAATGGTAAATCAGGGTGTCAATCTCAGATTCCGCACAACTACTTTGTGGCTAACATCAGTGATGGGGAAAGTTCTATTACAGACATATGGCCCAGCATGAGCAATCACCAGATGCTATTACCAAGCGTGGTGACCCATGCTCTGAATGAGCTTAACCATGGCCATGTTCTAAGGGCTTTACGTGCATTAAATCTTTTAATT